TATATTTAAAAAAAAAAAAAAAAAAAAAAAAAAAAAAAAAGTTAAAAAAAAAAAAGTCAGGACTGACACCTATTTATTTAGGCAATCCCTGGCCTTCCCGTCGCGCCCTGTTCTGGATTCATTTCCAGGGGAAGGGTCGGGGAGGTTGAGGCAGCGGCAGCCGGGAGGGCTACAGTGCCTCCTGCGGACCGAGCGGTCGCGCTCGGGCCTTTCTGGCTGCCCGGAGAAGTTAGGCTCCGCAGATCCTGGGCTTTAAAACGGTTCCAGAGTGGCGTGTTCTGTCCGCTCCCAGCACCAAAAGTGACCGGCATCCGCACCAAGATTCCCACGGTCGCGCAGCCGACCTCCCTGCCGGTATTCCAGGACCAGGCGGCCACCCGGCTCCGCTCAGCGTCCCCTCCCCTTGGGGTCTGCCCACCCCGTAGCTCAGGGGAAAAAGCTGCTTAGAACTTCCTGAAACACAGCGGGTCTGGAGCGAGCCCCGAAGTCGGGACGGGGGCTCCCAAGTTGAACACGCTTACAGGGAGGTGCGACCCAGCCCAGAGAAGTGTGCGGGACCTTCCCGGAATCCGACCAGAGCACCTCTTTAAAAAGGGAGGAGGTGGGAAAGAATGAATGAATCAAAGAAGGGGTGTTAAGGATCAGAGAGGAAGCTGGAGGGAAGGGGCATTTCATTTTCCTTTCTCTTCCCGGCGACTCGGGCCTCCGCTGGAGTCACGCGGACTGCACGGGCGTGTGCCCAATCGCCAACAATTGCTTCAAAACCCCACGCTCGACTCTTCGCCCCACTCTTAGCTGCGGCCAAAATCGGTCAGAAAAGAGGGTAAAAGCGAGACACCGGCTTTGAAGGAGGCAGACGAAAGAAAGGAGCGTCCACGTTCTCCCTCTGCAGCGTCTCCCCGGTTCTTCGGGCGCATCCGAGGGGCGGGCGCTGCGCTGGGGAAAGTTTGTCGCGCCCGCATTTCGCAGCGGGCTGCAGGGAGAGGAGGAGGAGAGAGAGGGAGGGTCGAGCTCGGAGCCTGTCGCCGCAAGGATGACTGAGCCGGCGCCGCGCTTACCTCGCAGTCTTCGTACTTGATATTATCCGTCAGTTTCCAAAGCATTTTCATGGATCGGCGTGAACGGATTTGCCCCTCTCCGCCTCGCACCCAAGTAGAGCTACTCTCTGGGTAAGCGCAAAGTGCCGGCTGCCGGCGGTGAGCGCAGGAGGAGGAGGAGGGCGAGGAGGAGGAGGAGGAGGAGGGCGAGGAGGAGGAGGGCAAGGAGGAGGAGGAGGAGAAGGGCGAGGAGGAGGAGGGCGAGGAGGAGAAGGGCGAGGAGGAGGAGAGCAGGGAAAG